CCACGCGAGACCTCGGCTGCAAAGCAGCCCGATTAACAAAGAGGTGATGCTCGTTGTTGTGCTTGCACCTGTGTTTTGTCAGGCACAGACTCTGCACAGGGCAAAGGAAGCAAGAGATGTGCTGCCAAGACACTTCGATTACCCAAAGTGCTGAGAGAAAAGTGTATTTATTGTCTGATCAAAGGCAGCAAAGCCGTTGCCGACACTTCATGTTTTGGCAACTGCTGGTCACAAGCCCTTGCTCAGCTCAAACTGTAACTGTAACATCTGTGCCATACAAGCCACCACCAAATGCATTTTTTATCCAACCTCTGTAAGCTTTACATTACTTACAGCAATACCAAATAATTTTTGAGGTGAAAGTACATCACTTCGGTTGATATCATCTTCACTACAACTCACTGCTAGGGCATAGCTGGATCATAGCTGGCCCCTGGGGACAGCGTCCCTGCTGAGCAGCCCCTCGGACCCTCCAGTGCTCCCCACGCAGCTGAGTCCCAGCAGCACCAGGGAGGCTGCACTGAGACACCTGCGGAGCCTGGCAGGGGACATGAGCCGCAGAGCAAAAAGCAGCCAGCATTAAGAGCTTGCCAGCCCTTATTCCTGCTTCTGTCGAAATGGAACAGTCGCAGGCGACAACCCCCGAGCGATCTGCCTCCTCATCATCCTGCCAAAGACTTTCTCCAAGCCTGGAGAACGTAAGCATGCGTCAACTTGTCAGAAAACTCATGGGGAAAGAAAAACGAGCAATAAACCAGGAAGCTTCTTGCATCACCTGCTGGGCTCCTGCAGGCAAGGAGGATCCTCACTGCGATGGCAGCATGCCCTCGCTGGGGCAACATGGGACAGGAGATGAGCTGGCGAGGATCTGCCTGGCGCAACAGGTACCACACAGCCCCAGCTTATCCAGTGTCCCACTTGGCCAAGAGGCGAGGACCGTGTGGGGCGGAGGACGTGACACACAGCACAAGGAACGGTCCTGCTCCTCACAGAGCTGTGTGAGGACAATCATTGAACGCGTGCTACAAACAGATGGCCTCGATGGAGTGACATCCAGTAAGGAGGGTGTCCCCAGCCCCCTCCCCAAGTGGGGGTGATCAAGCTGCAGCCCCACGGGGTGGCTCTGCCCCACCGGTGCCATGCAGGGCTGGCCCCGGGTGAGCACTGAGCAAACCCCAGCGTGGGGCTGGCACCCAGCCCGCAGCAAGGTGCAGGGGAACCACACCTCTGTGCTCCCACCTCGCCTCCCCGTCCACCCCACCCATGCTCAGTTCTGCCAGTCTGGGCAGATTTTCAGGAATCTCACTTCAGACACATTGTACTTTTTGGCAAAATCAAGTCTTGGGTGCTTCGGCTGTTAGCTACAAATGCCAGTAGCTGTTTCCTAAGCAGACACAAAGGCAATGGAGATTTCTGAGCCGTTAAAAAACTGAGTCACCAAGATTCTCCTGGGTCTTGTACCCTGGAAAAGGCATCTCATTAGGGAAACGGCACATCTGGAGAAACACAGCCCGAGACACCACACTGCTCCAGAGCCCCGACTTGAGCAAAGGAGGAACCTTCCAGACACCCAGGCCAGAAAAGCACAGCCCTGCGTATCGCCATCCCACAGTTTGGGCACCAGGATGTGCTGTCACATCAGAGTGAGGAGCTCCTCGTGAACAGAGAGGAAGGCAGAAGAACCAATGGAACGGCAGCTCCTCTCTGCGTTCCCAAGGAGAGCGATCCACGTTTTCAAGCATTATTACACCACCGCTGTAATTGGATTAAGCCACAGGAAGACTCTTTTATCTTGTTTAGTTTAAACTGCACTAGCGCTGCAACTCCCTATTAAACCACAGCCAGGCTATCTGGGGTGAGCGCTCTCTGCCCAGCCATTTAGGCAGAACGCAATTCTGTTATCACAACTCTCACATTGTTCCGTGCTCCTTTATCAGGGCAAGCAGCTAATTACACAGCCTGGCTCACACAGGTAATCAGCACTCAGAAAAATGCAGTAAACGCAAAAACCTTCCAGGTCCTTAAGGAGCCTTTTCACAATTCCTCCCTTGCATCCTTACTCCAGCCTGATCCATGTTCCTCCTCCTCATGCCAAGCAGGGCACACAGCGATCCAGAGCCGAGAGAGTATGAGCACAGCCCTAGGCCAGCCACGTTCCCACTGCCAACCACTCGAGCTGTGCGACCCTGGAAATATAAGGTGCGATGTAGCGCAGTTGGAGCAGGGTACACAGAGAGGTGAGCAGATGGACCAGGGGCCAAATCTTCCCATGCAGAGCTTTGCAAAGTCAGTATTTTATGGTATTTCACTATTTGGGACACTGATCTATGGGGAGAAAAATCGCGCTGCCGGTTACACAGCAACTAATCCAAGGAACAAGCAGCTGTTCAGCAGTGACCTCTCTTACCCGTTCATGTATCCATCTCTGCTGTACCCAGCTGCCTTTTCCTGCTGCCCAGCCTCCTACCAAAGCTCAGTTTAAAGGTTTGCATTCTGTCCATCAACATCATCCCTGCAATTTCAGCTGGATGTGAAACCTTTTGCTTCCCATTCTGGAGCTTCTCATCATCATTGTGCAGTGCTGATATGTGGGATTAAACAGCTGATGCGGGATCCATTTATTCAGAGAGATAATTTGTGCAATACTTAGGACTCCTTCAGGACAAATGTTACTAGGATTACTAAATCTGCATGCCACAGTTGCCAGCTGTTTCTGAAAACCCCTCCTCTGGGTAATAATGCTCCTCTGGAGTAGCACAGATGAAGCAGCACGACTGCACCCACAAACCTTCACTGAGGGGAAGCACTAAGGGCTGCAGGCTGAATGCTGGGCAGCTGGATAGCAAATTGCTGCTCAGAGCACACATCCGAAGGCAAGGCCTCACTGGAAGAGACGCTGTTCCCAGCAAGGTGAAGCCTCAATTAGCACAGAGCCAAGGCATTAAACAGCAGCTGAAATAATTACTTACTACATCATAACCGGTGGGTGCTCGGTTGCGGGAAGCAACCACACCAACCCCAGTGATGGGATCCATCGGCAAGTCGGGCAAGGCATCTGAGAGGTCACGCACTTCAGGCATGATGGACTGGTCCTGAAAAAGAGGAGAGGGATTAGAGGGCTGCTCAACAGCTGACAGAGCACCCAGAGCCTACGTGCATGCCACAGTGCCTGTGCTGACACACCACAGACTCCCAAGTCAAACACAGGATTAGGCCAGACACACCTTCTGCACTTTCATTTGCTTTTGATAAGAGGGTGCCTTTGTGAAATGCCCAATAGGTTTGGAATTCGGGCCAGCAGCCTCTTCTGAGATTGATTTTGTTGTTTCCGGGATACTCGGCATGGGCTGGTCTCCATCCAGCAGCAATGGGCAAACCCAAGCTCACTGCCTTCCAAACGGAGCAGATTTCATCCCCGAGTCAGGCTGGCTGAGCGAGCAGCTCTGCACTTTAAGCAGCAAGAAATCTGCTCCCAACAGCCTCACTGGGAGGGTCCCCATCCACTGAGGGTGTCAGACACACTGGGGGTCCCTCGCGAGCCTTCAGTCCCATGGCACCCCCAGACCAGACTGTTTTCACGTAACAGCACAGATGTATCTGACGCCGTGCACCAAACCGCACGTGCTGCAGAGAACCAGGGGAACACAGACGAAGCAGCACAGGATGGTCTGATGCAAAGCAGACAGAGGCCTCCAGGAGGCCCCAGCATCTTCCAGGAGAAGGGAGACATCACATGAACTTCAGGGGAGATACGCAGGGAAGACAGAAGCAGGTAAGACCAATCAATTCTGGAGAGATGCTGTTGCAGGAAGCAGAAGGAAAGGACAAGAGCTGCTGAAACAACTCGCTGAGGAGAAGGAGGATGGGGAAAGGTGCCGCTGCCACAGCACGTGCACTCTTGCAGAGGCAGTGACAGGGCAAGCCTTCCTGGCTTTCAGGCAGGAATGAATGCCCCAGGAAAGCGCCCCCCACGCACCCAGATAAAAGGGCAGTGCTCTGTGTAAACAAGCGTCACTGCTGCAGCCAGACAAGCCGTGAACCAGCGCTGCCTAATTCATTCCCTCCGAGCAATTACACCCCAGCATTTCTAGGCCATGTGGACAGCTGGTTACTTACTGCTTCTAGAAAAGGCAGAGGTGAGTGCTGGTGCCAGTGGGACTTGGGGCTACCCTTCACAATGCCCAGTCTGAACAAACATCGCGCTGCAGGCAATAAGAGAGAGCAAGTCTGGGCCCTGGGTAGATAATAATAACAACAATGTCACACAAACAGCCAGGCTACCTGTCGAGTCCAACACACCAGAAGCCAGCGACCAGGAATACGAAGAAACTATTGACGACAAACCAAACGCAGAGAGCACTCTGCTCCAGCACCGAGGCACGCACGGAGCGGCGCAGAGCAGAGCGGCCCATTGTGCTCCTGACACAATTTAAACGTCCACAGCACGACGAGATGCACACCCCATGGTGCAGCGGCTCACCTTCCCCTCCCAACAGCTCACTGACTCCAGGGTGGGCAAGGAGAGGGGGACCCTGCCTGGGAACGCTTGTGGCACCCGGCACAGCCCAGGCAAACCCCACACCAGTGCCCATGCTGCTCCAGCAGCTCATCCAGCTCCCTTGCAAATAATCCAGAACTCACTGCCAAAGTGCACAGTACCAGGTAAACATAACGTGAATTTAACAAGGAACTTGCAATCTGTTCTTCTTACAGATGCACATTTGCTGAAACTTTTCCAAGTCACTCTCAATAATGTGATGACTTGTTATTACACATCGGGAGGAGCTGAGAGATCATGACTGCTGATATGAGCTTCTCTGAGGCCATTTTTGAACTGAAACCCAGGCAAGAGACGATACTCCCCAGCACGCTGAGAACACCGCGTGGCAGGTCACAGCACAGCTGTGCACAGGGAAATAGATCCGCTCCCCTGGTCTGCGCCAAACCTCCTGGACCAAGCACCATCTTGTTCTGCAGAGCTGGGGAAAACAGGGGTGGCCAGGATGGCATCAACACCTCAGGGGGGAACAGAGGGGCTGTGCCCCATCTCGGGCCCTGGGAGGGCACAGGTGGGCAGGGAGCCCCTGGCACTGCCTCCTCTTCCACAGCAGCAATGTCAGGGATGGAGACTTGCTGTCGAATGCTGCCCAGGCCCAGCTCACCACACGGCAGCCTGCAGCAGGGAGGCCCAGCTCCCCGCCAGGAACGCAAGCAGCAGCAGGGTCAGCATAGGAGACGCCAAGGAAGGGTCCTGGGGGTTCCCGGCACAGCCACAGCAGGGAGGTGGGTGCTGGTATCCGTAGCACAGTGCCACTGGGCAGACCCCTCAGTGGATGGGATGGTCCGCAGCAGGAGGAAGAAGGGCACCTTTGTCAGAGCCGTTTGCAGTGCTTGGTGCAGCAGGGGGAGGAGAAATGGCATCAATTCTCACTTTGTGGCGGCTCACACAAAGCCCCTCTGTGGTGGCAGTGGCTGAGCATGGAGAACAGGGCCTTCTGCGTCACCACGGCAGGAGGCAGAAGCCGTGAGGAGAGACAAGATGCAGCACCAGCACACGGCCCATGGCAGCACCGTACTACCACAAGAGCTGAGCCGAGCTCCCTGTGCCCGGCGAGCCCGGCACCTTCCTTTTCCCAGTGCTCAGAACGTGGCCTTTGCCTGCAGCCAGCGGGCAGAGCATCCACCCAGAAAACGAACCCCCGGGTCTCCAGGCAGGGCAGGTGGCACGGAGGACGCATCTGGAACAGATCCGGAGCAACAGCAATCGGTTTGCACACTCGAGTAAATGTTTTTGTGAACTCTGCTCAGGTCAGAGGGGAGTCCAACCCCACAGACGATTGGTTACACTGTGCTTCTCCCCCAGGGCATCTGCAAAGTTTGGTTTCTTTTCTACTGTGACTTTGAACTTAAGCATTAAAAAAACAAACAATGAAGAGAGAAATTAAGGAGCAGGATTCTATAAATAGTCCCTTTGGACAGCTTGTTATTTTAATGAATTTCTCTTTAAACAATGCGAGTCTCACCTCGACACCCACCTAACACCATGGTGGCCAAGAACCCAAAGCAGCTGACCAGGGTTTCGCCATCCCGCACCAAGCTGTGTTTGCCAAGCTCTGCCAAAGGGCTGTGCCCCCCCCCCCCTGCCACAGCCTCCTCCTGGGAACGGCCCAAAACAACCAGAACATTTCCCACGAGCTGGGAGCGTGCTCCTGGGGGTCATTCTCAGCTGCAGGCCCTCAGCACACCCAGGCAGCAAAGGGAAGCTGGATGCACAGGAAAAAGCTTCAAAACACCATGGAGCTGCTCAGAGCCGGAGAAACGATGTGCCTCCACCAGAGAGAGCCACCACACATCCTGCCCGCACAGAACCCGCACAGCATGCGGCAGAGGGGTAGGATGGGCATGGGACACGGGCAGACACCGGGCCCTTGCCATACAACCGCGCTGCTGGCTCTATCCCGCGTGCTTCCTGCCCCCTCACACCGCTCATCCCCGCTGGTACTGGTTTAGCCCAGGCATGCTTTCCTGCTGGCTGCACTGTCCGCTTCGTGTATTCCAGAGGTGACCGACCACACACACTGCAGGGCTTTGGATGGGGCACACAGAGCAGAGGAACACATTTTCAGATATGAACGCATTACTGTGAGTTTGCAGAGCATTTTTCCGTCTCGGTGTTCCATTTCAACAAGCCAGGCAGGTTCAAGAGCTGGTGGGCACACGATCAGCTCAGGTCTGACGATGTATCTGCGACAGAAGCATCACGCTGCCAGCAAAGCGGGTCAGTCCTGAAGTTAAACAGGGAGAATGCTCTTATTGCTCCTTCCTTCAACTGCAAGCCCTGCACTTTGACACTGACGTGCTCTTCCCACAGGCAGAGAAGTATGAACTAAGGCAAAACTGGAAAAAAATTATCAACTACCTCACCGAGTTCCTGCAGCCTGTGGGAAATAACCCCACCAAACCCAAGCAGACACTGCTAGAACGCTCACTGGGGCCGTTGCTCCAGCACTTGGAAGAGGTGCAGGTACTGCTGGCCCCACGCAGGCTGCTCCAACATTACAGACTCCCCCGCACGCCTGGTCCTCCCACTGCCTCCGGGAACAGGACCCAGCCCCAGCCAACTTTCTCTTCCTGTTCATGGAATAGGACATAGATTCAAAAAAACAGGAGACCATGGTGGGACACAGGGTCAGGGCCCTGGAGGCCTCCATCGTGAGCAGGCAGATTTCAGCTTCACATTTCACCCCAAGCAAAAGCAAGTCTGGAATCACCCATGCACCCAGGCTGCCCTCCTCCAGACAGCTGCCCCACACCAGCTGCCAAACCTCAACGGTTTGTGACTGAACTGGGTGGAAACAGGAACCACAGTCATGGAATGAGCAAAACTCAGTTCTCCTATCCCTTCACAGCGCCTGGAACTATGGACAGGCATCTGTGAAGTGTCCTGTTTCAAACCAAAATAGGTTTCCACGCAGAGATGACCTTGCACCAGGACAGCAAAACTTAAACGGCATTTGGTTCAGGTATTTCTATCTCGTCATGTGTGTGAACAAGTCCCTGGGTGCTACAGGAACCTTTGAGCCTGGGATTCGCTTGGTCAGTGGCACACACTTCAAGACTGATATGTTTCATTTCACACCTCCAGGAGCTCAAACTAAGCCTTCATCCCAGTATGCTGATAAAATCTAGCAGGTAAGGCTATCTCGATCAGAAATTACAGCGATGACACTGTCAACCTGCCATGACACACCGGCTCCACCAAGGTACACATTAGCACGTTCTCACTCGGTTAAAACGAAACACAAGACGGAGAAACCCAAGCCTTAGCATGAGCAGCTGCACACCTGTCAAAGCCCAGCCAGCCCGGCATCGGCTGAGGGACTCTGCTTGCGCTACCACGATCAAGCCAGGAAGGCCCCAACTCAGAAAAAAATGCTGAAGCTTGGTGGATCTTTGAGAACCTCTCCAGAAACCACAGCAAAGGCTCACAAGCCTCAGTAACGCGAGAGGTAAGGACATACAACACCAGCAGCTCAGCATCACTGGCCCTGCACCATTGGAGGAGAGAGAGGCAGAAACCTGAGAA